ACCCCATGCCCTGGGTGCTGCCATCCCCCCCTCGTGCCCATTCCCCCTCTGGCCGCGGGGTGGCGCTGTGGGACTGTGAGCTCCGGGTGCCCCAGCAGCAGCAGGTTCAGGAGGGTTCTGGGGGGTTCCCAGACTAGGGGGTCAGCTGTGCTCCCTGCAGGGGAGCAGTGGGGTAAATCTGGACCCCTGTTCCCCCCTCCCCAGGGCGGGGGACACAGAGCAAATACCCCCCCACACACACACACACATTGTCCCGGTGCCACCCGGAGTCTGGGGCCAGCCCCCAGCTGGGGCAGGCTGCCGCAGCGAGGGGTGGGACGACTGCAGGGGGCATGAGGGGCAGTGGGTGCCCCAGGGCTGCAGTCAGGGGCTAAGGGGGCACCCAGGGGGGCTGGGCTGCCCAGGTGGGGTCTGCAGACCTATGGACACCCAGAGGGCTGTGGGGGGGTGGCAGGGGCACCCGGGGTTTGGGGCTAGATCCTATTTGGAGCGGGTGAGGTTTGGGCTCAGAGACGTCACGCATTGGGGGTGGGGGGGCAGTGCGTGGGAACTGAAATGGGAGGAAAACCCCCCACCCCTCCGGTTCCCTGGAAACAAAACCCCAGGGGCCCCAGCCGGGGGAGGGGGGAAGATTCTCCCTCCCCCCCCCGGGGCAGGGCCCCTCCCACCCCGACAGCACCGTGCCCGCGTGTGACTCAGCACAGAACCATCCCAGGCGAGTCTGGGCCTGGGCAGCCTCTGGGCGTCGCTGGGGCACAGGGGCTGCCAGGGACAGCACGAACATGTGTGTCACAGAGCGCCTAGAGACGCCGCCGGATCGGGGCCCAGCGCGCCATCGGTGCCCAGACCCCGAGCGAGATCAGGGCCCCGTCACGCCTGGCGCTGCTCAGCCCCTGTGATTGAGATCGGGGCCCCAGCGCGCCAGGCCCTGCCCTGCCCGGCCCCCCAGACTGAGATCAGGGCCCCAGCGCGCCAGGCCCTGCCCTGCCCGGCCCCCCAGACTGAGATCAGGGCCCCTTCGCACCAGACGCTGCCCAGACCCTGACCCAATTCAGGACCTTGTCCTTCCGGGTGCTACCCAGACCCCAACAGATCAGGGCCCTGTCGCACCAGGTGCTGCCCAAACCCCAACTAAGATCAGGGCCCCGTGGTGCCAGGTGCTGCACTGACCCCCTCAGACTGAGATCAGGGCCCCATGGTGCCGGGCGCTGCACAGACCCTGAGATCGAGGCCCCATTGCGCCAGGCCCTGCCCTGCCCGGCCCTCCAGACTGAGATCGAGGCCCCGTGGTGCCGGGTGCTGCACAGACCCCGACCGAGATCAGGGCCCCGTCACACTGGGCGCTGCCCAGACCCTGATGGAGATCTGGCTCCCCGTTGTACTGACCCCGGCTAAGGTCAGGCCCCATCACTCGGTCACTGCACAGAGATCGCCCCCCCATTGTACGGGTGCTGCACAGACCCAGACTGGGCGAGTGTCTCTGTGAGTGTGACCCCCCGTGCTGACACACCTGTGCTGAGTGTGACACTCTGCCGGTCCCATCTGGGCGTGTTTGCACTGGTGCCAGTGCCTGCGCCAGCCACAGCGTGCGGGGTCCCCTGAGGGATCCCCGAGCCCCGGCACTGAACATAAGAGCGGCCAGATTGGGTCAGAGCAAAGGTCCGTCTAGCCCAGTGTCCTGTCTTTGAAACGTGGCCAGTGCCAGGTGCCCCGATGGGAATGAACAGAACAGGGAACCATCCAGTGATCATCCCCTGTCGCCCATTCCCAGCTCCTGGCAAAGAGAGGTTACGGCACCATCCCTGCCCAGCCTGGCTAATGGCCATTGATGGACCGATCCTCGGTTAGCGGGGAAAGGACTGACAGACAAAGGAGGAGTGTGTGCGTGTTAAGACAAGAGACCCTTGTGCTTTCTGGCTCCCTAGATTCGACCTCCCTGTCTGGTAGGATTCCTTCTCCTGCAGCGAGGACCCCTCCCGCCCAGAATAATGAGGACCTCAGTCAAGGGAAAATCAAATCAAGTGTATCGAAGCAAAAAGTGGGACAAATAAGAAGGGGAATAAACAGCGAAATTGTGCAATACAGTGATTGCCCCCAAACTCAGCCCTACAGACAGATCTAAAAAATAAAAAGGAGTCATATAAAAAATGGAAACTAGGACAGATTACAAAGGATGAATATAGGCAAACAACACAGGAATGCAGGAGCAAGATTAGAAAGGCAAAGGCACGAAATGAGCTCAAACTAGCTACAGGAATAAAGGGGAAAAAGGCTTTTTATCAATACATTAGAAGCAAGAGGAAGACCAAGGATAGGGTAGGCCCACTGCTCAGTGAGGAGGGAGAAACAGTAACAGGAAACTTGGAAATGGCAAAAAGAACAGGAGTACTTGTGGCACCTTAGAGACTTTGTTAGTCTCTAAGGTGCCACAAGTACTCCTGTTCTTTTTGCGGATACAGACTAGCACGGCTGCTACTCTGAAACTTGGAAATGGCAGAGATGCTTAATGACTTCTTTGTTTCGGTCTTCACCGAGAAGTCTGAAGGAATGCCTAACATAGTGAATGCTAATGGGAAGGGGGTAGGTTTAGCAGATAAAATAAAAAAAGAACAAGTTAAAAATCACTTAGAAAAGTTAGATGCCTGCAAGTCACCAGGGCCTGATGAAATGCATCCTAGAACACTCAAGGAGCTAATAGAGGAGGTATCTGAGCCTCTAGCTATTATCTTTGGAAAATCATGGGAGACGGGAGAGATTCCAGAAGACTGGGAAAGGGCAAATATAGTGCCCATCTCTAAAAAGGGAAATAAAAACAACCCAGGAAACTACAGACCAGTTAGTTTAACTTCTGTGCCAGGGAAGATAATGGAGCAAGTAATTAAGGAAATCATCTGCAAACACTTGGAAGGTAGTAAGGTGATAGGGAATAGCCAGCATGGATTTGTAAAGAATAAATCGTGTCAAACCAATCTGATAGCTTTCTTTGATAGGATAACGAGTCTTGTGGATAAGGGTGAAGCTGTGGATGTGGTATACCTAGACTTTAGTAAGGCATTTGATACGGTCTCGCATGATATTCTTATAGATAAACTAGGCAAATACAACTTAGATGTAGAAAGTACACTTATTAAGTTTGCAGATGATACCAACTGGGAGGGATTGCAACTGCTTTGGAGGACCGGGTCATAATTCAAAATGATCTGGACAAATTGGAGAGATGGTCTGAGGTAAACAGGATGAAGTTTAACAAAGACAAATGCAAAGTGCTCCACTTAGGAAGGAACAGTCAGTTTCACACCTACAGAATGGGAAGAGACTGTCTAGGAAGGAGAACGGCAGAAAGGGATCTAGGCGTTATAGTGGATCACAAGCTAAATATGAGTTGTCGGAGAATAACCGAGTTCTCACTTTTTGTTTGGGTACAGCAAGTCAGATACTTTATTTATCTGTCAATTGCATAGAGGGAGAGAGCTGAACAGGTCTTTCAACAGGTAAACAATTACAGCAAGCATTTATACCTTTTG